AGCNTACATTTCTCCAATGTTAGATCAATTACGTTCAATTATTAAAATTACATAAAACCATTATTACTTCAAAAATTCTGCATCACTTATTTTATTTTTCACCTATGGACAGAGGTGGGTAGACTAGCCAAAAAATGTACTTAAGTATGAGTAGCACTGCTTTAATATTTTATTACTCAAGCAAAAGTAGAAAGACTAAAAAAGTAGCCTACTTGGTAAAATGGCTACTCAAGCTCATAACTTCTGACTTAAAATGATCTAATCAGAGACTATGTGCAAATGCTTTTTTATTAGAAAAACAATTAAAATTTTTCAAAATTAAATCACAAAATCATTCATTTGGGCAGAAGAAACAGTTTTTCCAAATGATAATTTTTCAATACAAACTTTTTGAAACCAATGTTTATAGTAGTATTTTATAATTTAGTTCTGTTCAATATTTATTTCTCTTTATTTCCAACGTATTAGTTTAAGCATTTTCAAATACCTATAACCAACCCCATACTGATTTATTTATTTTACATTTATGTCTGTCAGTTTTAGCTTTTATTGGTTTAGCTCTACTTCAGAAGTCTGTCATATTGTCGTTTTTTTCCCCCTATCTTAACCAGAATTAACCTGGCCTTGGACCAGAATACTTTGATATAAAATAAAACTATTAAAATTTCAAATTAAATGTTAGGTTTAGGGATGTAGTTAAAGGCAGAAATATATGAGGGGAATTTTGTTCTATTATTGTTACAAGCAAAGTGTCATGTTGGGTTCTAGGCGTCTAACCCACATGCAGAAACACTCGTGAAACAGAGAAAAAGTTCAAAGGTTTATTTACAAATTTACAGTATTGTGAACAGGTTCCTGGCTCGGCAGACAGGTCACGGGAGGAACGCCACTGAGGAGGACAGAGGAGTTAGGGTTTATCCAGGTAAACTGCAGTTTTACAGATGACGGGGAAAATACCTGCTCAAAGGTGGAACTGAGATGCAGGGGGGGAAACCTTGAGGGTCCAGATGCTAGTCGGCAAGCAGAGGGCTGAGGACAAAGGCAGAGGCTTAACTGAGTGCAGGCAGGCAGATTCCAGACAGAGATAAATCTCCAGGATTTCAAGTTTTTAGACAGGACTCGATCTGTGAGGCAGAGAGAAACAGGGTCAGGCAGGTTCACAAAAATCAGAGATACAGATCTGGTTGTTTGGCTCAAGTCTCGCTCTACCATTACTGGCAAACACTCTGGCAGGGAAGTGTCAGCCTCCTCCTCCTTAAATAGGGCTTCCTTGATGGGCAGATGGAAGACAGGTGCGCCCTCTGGTGGAGAAGGTGGACAAAGCCTCCAGATCCCAACACAAAGAACACATTGTTTAAATGAAAAAAAAAATCTTACATAGAATAAGAAAAAAAATGCATCCAGAAACAAAACATTTGAAAAAAGTTTTAATCAAAAAATTAATAAGAGGTCAACTTTGCTGTTTTCTCAAATTTTTTAATTGTTTTAATGATATATTTAAGAAAACAAAATCTGAAAATCTCAGCAAAGTTGCTCTCTAAACCTTTTTTAATTTAAAATTTCAACTTTTTTTTCTGAATTGCATTTTTTTTTTCATGTTTCCATTTATGAAATGTGTTCTGATTCAATATTACAGAGTCTTATTGCATTTTACATTCAGTGTACGTTTTCTGGTTATTTTTATTGGTAAAATATGGTGNATGTGAAAAATAAAGAAAACAGAAGTAAGCTGCAACAGGATAGAGGCAACACAAAGGATTAAAGATTAAAAGTGAATCCATAAAATGAGATAAAACGACTGATAAAGAAAAAAAGAGAAGTTGGCCTGAAAACCTAATTTAAATGATTTGATAGCTCAAAGGCCACTCAAAACAAATGTTTTTAATCTTTATTTACAGCTACTGAGGGTTTTAGTACTTCCGCAGTTGTCTGGGGGTTTATTTAAGATAAGGGGAGCATAACAATTGAAAGAAAAAACTTATTCTTGTTTACATCTACTCTGTTTCTGCAGAGTAGATACTGGATAGGAGGGGCCCTAAGATGGAACGCTACATGGGATTTTTGTACACTTAATGTGTAGTTCCTTTTTTTTTAGTGGGAAAAAATGAAGAATCAGTGAACATCAATATAATTTGAAAGAAAAATTCACATAAGCTCTATAATATTAAATTGAGAGCCGGTGCAAGGTTAAATTTTAACGTTTTGCATAGTAGCCACAAAACTAAATTTATTTTATCGGGATTCGGTGATGAATTAAAGAGATTTTTAGAAAATCCATCAAGTGAATGATAACTATTTTGGTAAGCCCTGAATGAAGAAAAGGGACTGAACTATACACAGATGAAAAAAAAGTCTTGTACTGTCCTTGAACTCTTCAATGCACAATTTTAGCTGATTTTTATGATGGATTCTACAAAGAGAAGTTAGTATGTCTTTTGACCTTAAAGAGCTACAAAACATCTTTCCCAGCTTCATTGCGGATGAGAAAACAACTTGCCAATATAGCCAGCGTATGCCTGACATCCCAGAATCTCCTAAAACGCTGACATATCCTGAACTTTCTATGTATTTTTTTTTATTTTGGACGTATAAATAGAATATTCATAAGGGGTCCAGAGCGTATGTCCAACGACAGCCTAACTTATGCATAATGCACGGCAGCCAAATGCCTATGAAATGATGCAGAAGCATCATTCCATGGGCATTACTAAGCATCAGGTCTGCATAAAAAGATGTCCATCCAAAAGAAATAAATAAATAAAAAGAAAAGAAACAAAGAAAGACGGTTTGCAGTCGCAGCACATTCAGCGTCATGTCCGCTAGAAGGTTTG